TATACACACCCACCACGCACGACACGCGACACACTACACACAACACATTGCACACACATCATGTAAGCCGTGCAACACACGCCGCACAACACATGTTGTGCAACAGACGCATAGCTTGGTGCACAACACTAACTTGGTTGACCTTTGAACGGCCGGAGCCCATGACGCATTGCTCGATGGCATATTTCCGACCAAGCAAACTGCCTTGGATGACCACGACCTGAGCTTAAAGAGGAGAAGAACGCCCCTGCCCATTAGGGCCTGAGGGCGGTCATTGAATTCCACACACCCACTGACTAACAATCAAACCAGAGCTAGCCGAGTAACGGCTAGCCCTCAAAGAGCTAAAATGCTCCCGAGACTAGTAATTGGGCATCCCAAAGATGAGAGCTTGGAACACACTCCGGCTGCCCAAGTCGGAGACCACAAGATCTTGGCCAACTTCCAACCTCGGCTGGAATAAGACCAAGGACTAAGGTTTCACAAAAGAGGAAGGGGAAAACGGTACACATGCTTGGAATGTGAAGGTAAATATGTTTCCATTAATTGAAGTAGCGGTACATAGATTAAGGCTCGGCATATCGAGCCACTACAAAAAAAAAGAAGGAAAAGCAGTACATGGAATAAGGCTCGGCATACCGAGCCACTACAAAAAAGAGAAGTGAACCACACAGGGCTCAGGGAAACTCCGTGGCAGCTCATTCCTCGGCAGGGGGATCCGCAGCCTCTTCCCCTTCCTCCCCTTCCTCGTCCCCGCCATCGTCGGTAGCAACAAGGTTGTCCACAGCATGCGGGGTCTCATCATCGTACACATCCCAGTCTTGTGCAATGTTGGCCAGTTCCGGACAGTGATGCAGCGCCCTCCTCCGGAAGAGGTTGAGCCCTGTCTCAAAGGAGCTCAAGGCGTACTCATCCATCTCCTACTTATATTTGACCGGGCCCTTGAACTGAGACACGGCCTCTGCCTTCTCCCGCTCTTTCTCTACCCTTAGCTCGGGGATTTGCTGCTTCAAGCCTCGAATGACGTCTGCCTGCTTGGCTATTTGCCTCTTCAGCTCCACCACCTCTGCCTCCAGCGCAGTAGTGCGCTTGGCAGCTACTCAAAACTCGGCTAACTGTGACTTCAGATTCAGATACTCGGTATGCTCTTTTTCGTACATACCGCGCAGTTGCCAGAGGCGGTCAACCATAGCAATCGCCGAGCATGCATTCTGTGGACAAGAAACGATTTCAACACAAAGAGACTTCGATAAAATGATGGGGACAAGTATGAACTTACCTGAGTTGTAGCACAGACGAGCGAGCACTCTAAGGCTCTACTTCCAGATTCCTGGCTTCACGATTGATGGCCACGGTCAAGAGCCCGCGAAGAAGTTGCTCTGGCACCTCGGGCGTCTCAAGCCTATCCTCGCTGCGGACCAACCACCGCGGCATGTGGATGGCCGAGCTGCTGCCCCCGACTTCCGTCTGTGGAGGAATGAAGGCCCGACAAATGTCCTCTAGATCCACCACTACCACATCCTCATCATCATTCCCCTACTATCGAGCCCTCTTTTGATGTCGGGACGCCCTCTCAGAAGATCTTAGCGAGGGGACAACCTTTGGGCGGACCTGTGGCCGCACACCAGCCCGGTTCTCTTTCATTTGGCGAACAATCTCTTCCTCACTCACCATCTCCACACCTGCACCACAGAATTATAATAGAGTAAGCATAAGATCGAAAAAAGAAAGGATTCAACAAGTAAACCGAAGCAAAAAAAAATAAACCATCCACCCTGTGCATTAGTCCGACGAGCATCAACATCTTAGAGCATGTGTACGCCACCACATCTATCTCACCTATCATGCTCAGGGCTGACCTCTCCTCCCAGGTAAGCATGGGCCACTTGGGCTGCGGTACCTTCGTCCTCGGCGTCTACAGCGCGGCCGTGAAAGGTAGGCCCCCAGGACAGTGCACAAAGAAGAACTCCTCCTTCCAATGCTTCATAGAGGATGGCCCCCCGACCAACACTCTGATGTTCTTCCTGGCTGAGAAATAATAGTAACCCTGCTGGTGAAGCTTCAACTGGAGGAGATAACTCACCATGCCCAGGGTCAGTTCGATGTAAGGACTGTGCAATACGACATAAGGTTGGACATAAATCTAAAAGAGTTCGGCATCAGTTGCACCGACAACACTCGGTACCATTCAAACACCCTGACTACCCCTTCGTTCAAAGGAAACCTTCGCCCGACTTACAAGCTGCTCTCGTACACACATACCTTGCCCGACCAAGCATTTGTTAGCCTCTCGTCGGCCTGTGGACACCTCATCTCAAACTCCTCGGGAATGTCATACATGGCTCGGATCCGAACCAAGTCCCCGGGAGTCAAAATGCAGGGGGTGGTCCCGAAACAATGACCAACACGCATAGGAAGCTCTACCTCCACTCTAGAAGGACCAGCATCGGCCTCCTCCACCTTGGCAGCCTTAAATTCCCCGACCTCAGACTCATAGTTGGAGCCACTAGAACTGGAAGAAGAACTAGAAGAAGAAGAAGAAGAGGAACGGGAAGATGGGGAAGACATCTTACTGAACTTGAAGCCACGGAATCAGAGCGCAAGTCGAGTAACGCCAACAACCCCTGCTGAGCTATCTAAGCAGCTCCTCTCGCAAATGGCGAAGGAGGAATGCCCTTCCTCCCCTTCTTATAACCCCAGAAGCGCAAATTGAAGCCAGATCAACGGTGGAGATCAAGTGCCACTCTAACAAAGCTCGGGAAGACTAATCGATGCGATTGTCACCGCATGCATGAGACCTCGAGAACCGAAGCAACGGTAAAGACATTAATTGCATCAGTCCGCCCTGAAGTGCCGGTCCAACCAACTCTACAGACCCCACGGTCTGCAGAGATCGTCGGTCCAACCAACTCCTCAGATCTCCTCAAGATGCCCAACGACGGACCCTGACCAAAGGAACTCGTGCTGCACCCCAACTGGGCACTCCACTCCTCGACTTTGAAACTGGGGGAGTGATGTTCGGATTCCGAAATTTCAAACACAAGTTCCTCATCTGCTCATCCACTCTAACATGTATAGATTCTTCAGCAACAAGCAACCCTAACAATCACAAAAAAATTAGAAATGAAGATTTTAAAGGGGAAACGTCCTCTTAGTAGTTGGTACTGTTTCTGTGGCTGAGTGAAGTAGCTCTTGTTCTGGGCAAGAGACATGCGAGTGCTGCTATGGACTTTTTCTGAGAGAGAGAGAGAGATACACTCATGCTTTCTACTAAGTTGGGTAGAGCATAATGGTGGGACAAGATTGGTGTAGACGACCCCAATTGGCTGAGATCCATCAAGACTGAGTTGAGATTAAGGAAGGATTGAGTTGAGTTGAGTAGATTGGTTTTTCCTGTCATCAAAATTTCACCCCTAATTAATTACAATTTGTCCCTTAATTAGCCAGTAAATAAAGTGTTGCATTGCTTTTCCTTTCGACTTTTAAACAAGACTTTTTGAAAAAGTGCTTATTTAAATAAGTACATTTTAACATTTGGTATTAAGGCTGTAATTGAATTGGATTCAGCAAAATCTGAATATGACCCATTTACTGAAAATTTTTAACCGAATCCAATCCGAAAATCTAATTAGATTTAAAGACCTCAGATTTGAATTTGAATCTAATGGATTCAGATTGGATTTGGATTTAATTCAATTCCGTTTTTTTAATACAAAAATTAAAATTTTAATTACTTTTCAATTTTTATCTTTAATAAATTAATGTAAATATAATATACTGAATTTATTTATATAAATTCATATATAATATACTATATAAAAATATATATTTTTATAATTTCAAATATATAAAATTTATATCAATAAATGTTATACTATAATCAGATTCGGGTTTTAACCAGATCGGGTAGAGTTAAATCCAAATCCAATTTGATTACTTAAATACATAATCCAAAAAGCCCAAAATGTTTTACCTTTTCTAAATGGGCGTTTTGGGTGAAAAAGAACTTGTTGGTGAGAAACAAGGTTATCTAACTGCTAAAACAAAKATTTTTTTTTTTCAAAAAATCTCTAAAGTAAAAGTATTGGTGACCCACCGATACGATACACATATCAACCAATATGGTCCAATGCAAGGTTTTTGAACCGTCATTGACTCGGACGGTCGGACTGTTCGGTTCGAGAATGTCTAGGCAACTGGTTCCGTTTTACCCCAAATTCGGTTTTGATAAAAAACCGTTAAAAAAATCAACAACCTGTTGACCCAAGTGATCAAACCATCAACCCGTTGACCCATTCAATAGTTTTGACCATTTTTTATTTTTAATTTTTTAATTTATTTATCAGAATGAGCCATCCGTTCAAACCGGATGGTCAGACGATCAACCTAAAAACCGATGGCTAGAACGGTTTCGTTACATGATATTTTTTAAAACGTTGATCCAATGTGTAATAAAATCTTGAACCTTGCAAATAATTGCTTAATATAGGAACTCCTGAAAACAACCATAGTGAGCGCACCAAGTAACCATTCACTATATATATATATATTTTTTTTTACAGTTATAACATAAATGCCCCCGGTCTACGCTGCAAAAGCTGAAACCATTCAAAGCAAATTTCTATGACAGCTGTCAAAATATTTATGGGCTACTTGTTCACAAAAAAGCAAAAAGGTGTGCTTATTAAGAGAATACAATCAGTCATTTAAAGAAACTACTTAATATGAAAATCACTACTCATCACTCCAAATCCTAAGAGAATACAATCAGTTATATATAGAAATAGAAACTACCTAAATATGAGAAATCATCCAAATTGGCTTCCCAATATTGCTAGATTTACGCACGAATCTGTGCAGTGGTGCAGCCATTAAATGACCCAGAAACGTGCAAAGTGCAGTGTTTACAACCATGATTTTGGCTATTTAAAGAGAAGAGGAACATTTTGGTTGTTCATCTTACCTCACCTCCCCGCATCCAGCAACCAGCAGCAAAGAAAATGAAGATGTTCAACTTCAATGGAAACATTCTCATGAGTGTAGTAGTAGTACTGGTTCTGTGCCTGAGTGAAGCAGCTGTGGTTCTGGGCAAGATAGATGTGCGTATTACCAATGAAATAGGGAATGGATATGGTCTGAGCATTCATTGTCGATCCAAGAACGACGATCTGGGGCAGAAGATGCTCAAGGGGAACATGTACGCAGAATGGGCTTTCGATGCTAACATCTGGGGTACAACGCTTTACTACTGCGACATGGTGTGGCAGCTTGGGTGGGGCCATTACGACGTCTACGTGGCCTCGAGAGACAAGTCTAGGTGCCATTATAACTGCTGGTATTCCGCAAGGCAGGATGGGTTGTATGCGTATGATGAAGTGAATGGAACTTATTCCTTTTGGGCTAGATGGGAAACCAACCCTTCAGAGTAAGGCCTTTGTCAAGGGACAATAAAGAAAAAGCTAATAAGGGTTTGAAAGAGAATGTTCCTTCCACTTTTCTTCTTTCTTTTCTTTTTAATGAATCCCTTTGTTGTTCTTCTGCTTCCTTTATTTTCTTTGTTGTGGGAAGGAATGAAGAATTGAGGTCGGGAGGTGCTTTTTATGAATAAATTGAATGGAGCAACAATGAACAATCTGTTGCTCTAATGGTAATTGTGTTGATATCCCCTCTTTCTATGCATTTTGAGACAAATTAAGAGACTTGGTAGCCGGAGAGCACATTCAGTAATAGCAAAGTTCTTATACTACATGCTTCTTAGCAAGGTCCCTTCTTTTTTGGGGATTTTGAAGGAGGTGATCAATGGGTTGTGATTTCCATTTACTAATTTATCTATGTTAATTGATGGTGCTCATGGTTCGGTTAACCAAATCGTATGCCTAGCTTTCAAATTGAACTGATAATACCGATTTTGAAAAATCGGTAACCGAAATTGAATTGAAGTTGATTGGTTGATTGGTTGATTGGTTTGGTTTGTCGGTTTTTTGATTTTTTAATTTTTAAAAAATATATTATAAATAAATATATAATAAAAAATTAGAAATACAAGTGGCATGTAATAAATGAAACGTGTTTTTTTTTAACCAACCTAAGAAACAAAAATAATTCTTTAATCCCTTGATGTCATATGGGGTGAGTTCTTGATGTCATAGTTAAATAATAAAGTTTTAAATAAAAATAATACAAAAAATATATAAAAATTTAGGCACATATCTAATATTTCATATTAAAGAAAAAATATAAGTATGATAAACAAGAATTATTTTTAGAGATGATAAAAATGAAATACAAAATTTAAAACTGGCCTAAATGAAAAATTTTCCCCTTTTGACAGTTGATCAACAATCTAACCTTTCAAGCCAGATATGTCACCACTCGAAGTCATAATTAAATAATAAAATTTAGAAAAAAAAAATTAAACATAAAAAATTTTGTAGAAAATATTTGAATACTTCTCTAATATTATATATTCATCATATCAAACATAGAAAGTGATGAGGGCAGATTTGACCCTCCAGTGAAATTGTGACATGTGGCACCTCGTGACAACTAGGCGGCAGCTCTCCAAGGAGCTCGCCAACTCACCAAGGAGCTCGGCAGCTCTCCAAGGAGCTCGCCAAGGAGCTAGGCAGCTCTCCAAGGAGCTCGCCAAGGAGCTCGGCAGCTCACCAAGGAGCTCGCCAAGGAGCTAGGCAGCTCTCTAAGGAGCTCGCTAAGGAGCTCGCCAGCTCACCAAGGAGATCGGCAGCTCTCCAAGGAGCTCGCCAAGGAGCTCGTCGCCATAGGTAGCTCGCCACTTGCAGGGTAGCTCGGTACAGAAGAGCAGTTCGGCATATCGCAGGAAGATCTCCTGTCTGACAACCGTACCTGACAAAACTGGTGGCAACACCTACATCTCTTGCCAGGCGGCGTCGTACCTGCCGTCTTTGAAAAGCATGGCACGCCTGACGAGTCCGTACCCTGCAGTAGCAGCCTGCACTTGTCACCTCAGTCCTGGTAGTAATGGCTTGGGCAGTGGCGGTTACGCCTGATGTGACTGGGCACCACTATATAAGGACTCCGACCCCCAAAGCCAAGGAGGAGAGAATGGAAAAAATGGAGGTAATCCCTGCTCTCTAGCTCTCTCATTTCTCCAATATCATCTTCAAGCTCTATACAATCAGAGTGCTAACTTAAGCGTCGGAGAGTCCCCGCCGGGAAAATACCTCCGGGTCCTCTGATTCAGTTCTCGCAGGTCCCTCAGCTCCTGTCGCCTACAAAGAGGAGGAAAAGATGGAGTTCTCGCAAGTCCCTCAGCTCCCACTGCCTACAAAGGAGAGAAGATCACCTCATGCAGAGGGCAGTCGGGTTGCGCTGCACCAGGGAGCTCCACCATTCTCTGAGTCACAGGCCGCCTAGGAATAGGGAGCTCGTCACCAGGGAGCTCGTCACCAAGTAGTTCGTCACCAGGTAGCTCACCACCAGGGAGCTCGTCACCAGGTAGCTCACCACCAGGGAGCTCGTTACCAGGTAGCTCACCACCAGGGAGCTCATCACCAGGTAGCTCACCACCAGGGAGCTCGTCACCAAGTAGCTCGTCACCAAGTAGCTCGTCACCAGGTAGCTCGCCACCAGGCAGCTCACCACTAGGGAGCTCGTCACCAAGTAGCTTGCCACCTGGTAGCTTACCACCAGGGAGTTCGTCACCAAGTAGCTCACCATCAAGCAGTTCGTCACCACGCACTTCACCACTGGGTCAAATGACGGGGTACTTAGCCAAAAAAATTGATACATCACAAAAAAACGATTACATCAGAAAGTGTGATAAATAATTATTTTTATAGTTGTAAAAGTATAAAAATTGTAAAAATTTTTAAGCACATATCATCATCAATACAGTTATACGAGTTGATTGGTCACCATTTTTATTGATTATGCCACTTTTTCGGTTTTTCTAGTCCGCCCCTCAAACTTCCGTACTTGGGGCGGCCCCTTCAATTTTAAAGAGTGTAGACCTGGGCCCGGCCCCTCAATTTTAAAGAGTGTAGACCTGGGCCCGGCCCATAAAATTTTAAAGAGTGTAGACCTGGGCCCGGCCCATGATCACCCGTTGCTAGTTGCTACTTAGTACTTACTGAGTTACTGGTCGGATACTCGGATACGTTTTTTTTTTTCCAATTGTAAGTCTCAACTCGATTTCTCTTCCAAAAAAAACCTCGACTGGATTGCATCCTTCTCCATCGTCTCAACTCTCAAAACCCAAGACACCTGGTGTTGTCTCGAAGAAGCAAACACATAAACAAGCACATCAGAGAGAGAGAGAGAGGGAGAATGGGTCCTCGACAGTGTGAAGTCTGCAAGGAAGCACAGTCGAAGTACAAGTGCCCCTCATGTCTGACACCCTAGTAAGCAATCACTCTCTCATCTCCTCCTTCCATACCTAGAAGCGTTAAGGAGGAGAAGAAGACGAAGAATAGCTCGTTATTCAATCTCTTCTGAAAAATTTAGGGTTTTATCTTATCTTACTAATTATCTTCGTTTTTTTTTTCGGGTTTCGATTTTTTTTTTCTATTTCTTGTGGGTTAAGATATATGCTTGCTTTTGTGCTTGGTCAGTTGTTCGCTGGCTTGTTTCAAGAAACACAAAGGTATGYTTCTCTTCTTTTTGTATAGTCATTTACTGAATGGAGATGGTGCTGAATGTGTCCAACATGAGAGAAGAGAAGTTGTTTAATTTTATATTATAATTAATAGTATTTAAAAATAAGTTGTGGATGTTTTGAAGTTCGAAGTTGGGATTTGGGTAACATATCGTATTGAATTCGACATTCTTGAATGTAACCCCTTCCCATCATAGACAATGGTAAGGGGACATCGCTAAACACTGCCAGCACAAATCACTTGCAGATAAGTAACAAACAAAACATAACACTGGGGGGAGGGGGCATTGCAATCAACGTACCTCTGTTATCTCCTCAAAGAAGACGTTCCTTAATCCTTACCAACTCGTCATGGGAAGCCACATGGTAGAACATTGTAAAGGCTTTGGAATTCTGTTCAATGAGCTTGTCAATGACCTTGTCTTTCTAATGGAATGTATATGCATCCAAGTACCATCCTCAGCTGCCTACATGCATCTATTTATAACTTATAGTTACCTTCCACTTCAATATTATTAAAACTCAAAGCAAACCCCCATTTTTAGCATTGAAGAATGGAAGCCTGATCAGCTTGGACGGCATTCCCTTTTCTTATTGCTCTGAATATCATGGAAAAATTTCCTTCCCCCCTCCACAGACACCACCTACACTTGAAAGGATCCTAGTTGTCCAGGTTTGTTTAGTTGTATTGTAGTAGGATTAGATGATTAGTAGTGGGAGTTTCATTGGTAGTCTAATTCCTTATTTGAGTGTTCCTACGGGTTGCCTACTTGTGGGTTTGTCTTTGTTCTAAAGCAGTTAGGAATTGTATCTATCTATCTTGTCAATTTTCTAGTAGAAATTGGAGACCATAAGGGGAGATCTGATCCCCTATTGTGAGTCCATAAATTGAGTTAACACCTCATTAGGATATGTTCCTGTCATTTATAACCATTGTTAAGTGTATTCAATGCCTTCGTCCTGATTTATTTGAGTGATATATTCAGTAGAGTTTAGTATTTTCAAGCCAAGGAATGTTGATAGGGAGGGAAAATGGTGAAATAATCAAATTGTTATCTGTCAACTGGTAATCTGTTCTTGTTGTATTTTACCTACTATCTTTTTTGGACAGATCAGGGACCTTTTCTATGCATATAATCTATTAATTCATAAAAAAATGTTTTCTTCTAATTTGTAAGATTTGACTCTATAAGTGGCCATAAAGTAAGACTTTAGGAAGACTTGTGGTGTGGTGACAATCCTTTCTATCTATAATTTCCTAGACTCTATTCTTTAACCAATCATGGAAACAAATGAATTGTAGATCTTGTGACCTTTTCTTCTTCTGGGTTATCTTGCGATCTTGTTTCTAGAAAGGTTTTTAGGAATATTGAGAGTGAAGAGTAATTCAACTAACTGATCACCTTAAACAAAATTTCCTTCTTGATGGCCATGACAAGAGAGTGTGGTTAATGGCCCTAATTGGCCATTTCTCTTGCAAATCATTCTTTTAAGTCCTAAATAAATCCCCTCTATCTCTCTCTTTTCCCTACAAATGAAGTTTGGGATAGACGCGCTCCACCAAAAATCAAGGCATTCATGTGGGAGGCTGCTCTTAGGATAATTAATGTGTGTGGCAATTTTCGAAGAAAAATGAAATCTTGGTGCCTCTCCCCTTGTGTGTATGTTTTTTGCTATGGTTGTGGGGAAAGCATTGACCATCTATTCCTTTCCTGTTCCTACTCATCTAATGTGTGAATTTATTCCTCTCTACACTTTGGATTGAATTAGTCTATCCTGCAAACATAATGGAGTTGTCTTGCACTCAATTGTGCCCTATAAAGACAAAAAAGGGAAATTTTCTATGGTCATGCACTAGAACAAAAATTCCATGGAGTCTTTGGTGTGAAAGGATGGTGAAGATAGAAGGATTTTCTTCTACCTCAACACATCATACATTAGGCTCCAAAGAGAGACCAAATGCGGAGCATGATTCTCCGAACCTATTTGTAATCACCCCAACTAGCTTTGATTGCAGAGAGAAGTAGGGATCTCAAGTTTGGTAGGAAGGTTCGTGGGTGTGGACTTGGAGGAAGATAAGGTTGAAGTGTGGGCTAGATAGTGGGGGTAAAAGAAACTGATGGGGGTGAGAAAGCTAAATGGAGGACTGTTTCTATTTATGTTTCACAATAGAGAATGGGCGGAAGAGGTTCTAGAAGCAGAATTGTAGAGGACAAGGGAGCTTGACCTTAGGCTGGGATGGTGGTTCCTGGCAACAAACGCATTAAGGGATGATAGGGTGGGGAGAAGAGTAGTTTGGATTGCGGTAGTGGGGATTCCATTGCATGCCTAGAGTATTGTAACTTTCGAAGAGATACGACAACAAAAACAGAAGCTGGGACATGTTAGACATGGCAAGATTGTTGGTTGAAGTAAAGGACGTGTCGGGCATACCAAGTCAAAATGAAGTTGAAGTTTGTAGGGGACACGATTTAAGGATAATGGTGGAGGGAGAGGATGGAACAACACTAGGTGGAGATGGTCGGAATAGAAGGGCTAGAGGGAATGAGGAAGGAGGGAAGAAAGAGGGGGGGAAGAGGGTGGAGTGAGAATAGTGCTGAAGTTGGGAAGTCGGACAATCAGCCAGAGGAAGAAGATGATGTAGAGGTGGGAGGTGAGAGGGGTAGAAGTGGAATTTCAAATAGAGTTGGGGAGATGGGAGAAAATGGGATGGACACGTGGAAAAAAGACCTAAGGAAACTCAATCGACAAGCCCAATGATAAAAGAAGAGGTTTTAAACAAGTGGCGGGTGAAGTAGGAGGAGATTCGAACTCAAATGGGGCCCACTTTAAGGAAGTTGAACCTGATAGAGCAAAGTCGGGTCTTCATATGCAGTTTGGGAATAAGGAGGGAAAAGGGCTCGATTCGAAAACAAACGTCGAATTGCACAGGTTCAGATCTGAATTCTTGGTTCAAGATTCGAACCTGTGGCTCTGATACCACTGAAAGGGACGGTAGAATCCATCGAATGGACGCCAAAACAGTTGCGGAATGGGTGGGCGAATTTCAAAAATTTTCTACCTACCTTTCAATTGGGAATCGCATTCCCTAATTTTAGAATCANTTCTCTTCTTTTTGTATAGTCATTTACTGAATGGAGATGGTGCTGAATGTGTCCAACATGAGAGAAGAGAAGTTGTTTAATTTTATATTATAATTAATAGTATTTAAAAATAAGTTGTGGATGTTTTGAAGTTCGAAGTTGGGATTTGGGTAACATATCGTATTGAATTCGACATTCTTGAATGTAACCCCTTCCCATCATAGACAATGGTAAGGGGACATCGCTAAACACTGCCAGCACAAATCACTTGCAGATAAGTAACAAACAAAACATAACACTGGGGGGAGGGGGCATTGCAATCAACGTACCTCTGTTATCTCCTCAAAGAAGACGTTCCTTAATCCTTACCAACTCGTCATGGGAAGCCACATGGTAGAACATTGTAAAGGCTTTGGAATTCTGTTCAATGAGCTTGTCAATGACCTTGTCTTTCTAATGGAATGTATATGCATCCAAGTACCATCCTCAGCTGCCTACATGCATCTATTTATAACTTATAGTTACCTTCCACTTCAATATTATTAAAACTCAAAGCAAACCCCCATTTTTAGCATTGAAGAATGGAAGCCTGATCAGCTTGGACGGCATTCCCTTTTCTTATTGCTCTGAATATCATGGAAAAATTTCCTTCCCCCCTCCACAGACACCACCTACACTTGAAAGGATCCTAGTTGTCCAGGTTTGTTTAGTTGTATTGTAGTAGGATTAGATGATTAGTAGTGGGAGTTTCATTGGTAGTCTAATTCCTTATTTGAGTGTTCCTACGGGTTGCCTACTTGTGGGTTTGTCTTTGTTCTAAAGCAGTTAGGAATTGTATCTATCTATCTTGTCAATTTTCTAGTAGAAATTGGAGACCATAAGGGGAGATCTGATCCCCTATTGTGAGTCCATAAATTGAGTTAACACCTCATTAGGATATGTTCCTGTCATTTATAACCATTGTTAAGTGTATTCAATGCCTTCGTCCTGATTTATTTGAGTGATATATTCAGTAGAGTTTAGTATTTTCAAGCCAAGGAATGTTGATAGGGAGGGAAAATGGTGAAATAATCAAATTGTTATCTGTCAACTGGTAATCTGTTCTTGTTGTATTTTACCTACTATCTTTTTTGGACAGATCAGGGACCTTTTCTATGCATATAATCTATTAATTCATAAAAAAATGTTTTCTTCTAATTTGTAAGATTTGACTCTATAAGTGGCCATAAAGTAAGACTTTAGGAAGACTTGTGGTGTGGTGACAATCCTTTCTATCTATAATTTCCTAGACTCTATTCTTTAACCAATCATGGAAACAAATGAATTGTAGATCTTGTGACCTTTTCTTCTTCTGGGTTATCTTGCGATCTTGTTTCTAGAAAGGTTTTTAGGAATATTGAGAGTGAAGAGTAATTCAACTAACTGATCACCTTAAACAAAATTTCCTTCTTGATGGCCATGACAAGAGAGTGTGGTTAATGGCCCTAATTGGCCATTTCTCTTGCAAATCATTCTTTTAAGTCCTAAATAAATCCCCTCTATCTCTCTCTTTTCCCTACAAATGAAGTTTGGGATAGACGCGCTCCACCAAAAATCAAGGCATTCATGTGGGAGGCTGCTCTTAGGATAATTAATGTGTGTGGCAATTTTCGAAGAAAAATGAAATCTTGGTGCCTCTCCCCTTGTGTGTATGTTTTTTGCTATGGTTGTGGGGAAAGCATTGACCATCTATTCCTTTCCTGTTCCTACTCATCTAATGTGTGAATTTATTCCTCTCTACACTTTGGATTGAATTAGTCTATCCTGCAAACATAATGGAGTTGTCTTGCACTCAATTGTGCCCTATAAAGACAAAAAAGGGAAATTTTCTATGGTCATGCACTAGAACAAAAATTCCATGGAGTC